GGAAAACACAATCATTTAAGTAAAAAAATAATATTTTCGATAATTTCAAACCGTATAGTTAATATGCAGTGATCGAAACCACAATATAAAATACAATATATAGTTAAATCATTTTTTAAAATTACGTTCGAAAAATAAATAATTATTGAAATAATTGTATTTAATTATAACATAGATTAATAGATTTTGTTTTAAGCAATTTAAGTAATAAATAACTATTTCAACTATGAACATTCAATTTCCATAATAATTGCAATAATTGAACAAAAATGTTTTAATTGCATGTGCTTCTCAATATTAAACTTGAAATGCTGTTAAAGAAAGTATCAAAAAGTTTGGGCGTAATTAATAGTTTATATTTCAATTATAAAGTCGTTTCGGTTAGCATCTGATCTAACAACTAATTTGCTCCTTTGGGAAGATTATTATGTAAACTCTTGAAAGAAGGGGTTGAGAGCATACTCCATTTATACGGACTTCCAAAGTGTTTCGGAATAGCGGCATTTGTAATAAACTATTCCTATCTAAATGATAGAAGTTCTGTGCCAAAAGTAGTCAACTTTCGTTTAATACCGTTTAGCCTAGCATCACATATTTATATATATTTTTTTATCAAGCACTGTATAATCCTGCTTTGATTATTTTAAATGCTAGTTTCTGGTATTTATTAAAATTGCAATTATGTAATTATAACCCCATTTCAACCTAAACAAATATAATCTAGCCCAATTTATTTGAACATAAGTTACTGTTAGTTAACTTTATGTAAACTTACTTAATGTAGCCTCAATTATTCTTACCTAACTTAATGTAACATCAATTAACGTAAGCTTACTTACTACACGACATTGCTTAACGTATTCTACTTAAGTAACAGATCATAAACTCACTAAACATATTCTACACATAGATCAATGATTCTCAAAGTGGGCGCAGCGATCCAGGGGGCGGTAACAACATTAGTTTTGTGTAATTGCTATTAAAATTAAAAAATGCAATGTCCAGGGGGCGCAAGTAATATTTTTTCTGGAAAGGCTAAATAAGTTTGGGAATCACTGACTTAGATCATAACACAATTAATATAAAAATGAAAGCTCTCTTATAATTATCTATTCTTATGAGTAAGTTTTTATATTATAGTATTTCATATAAGTAAGTTTTTCTTTTAAAGTTCTATCGTTAATAAATGAGTAGCTTGTTTTAAAAGATGTAGGTAATGGATCTATTTATAAAGGTATACAAAATGTCTTTTATAATAAGATTCTCTGTACTTGTGCAACACTAATGGTTCATTAAAAAGTTGCATCTATCAGAGACTGAACATTCTAGTAGACTCAGAATATGTTTATGAATCCCATTTATTTTTCGCTTATATTATTAATAGTAAGTGGATTGTTTTGTTCGTTGCGTTGTTCTTTTTCTCTCTCTCTTCAGATGCAGCAAGATTTTAAATCGGCAATAAATAAGTTTTCGTCTCAGGCCGTGTCTCGTCAGGTCCCGTCGGGCAATTAACTTTTACGCGATGCACGTCTGCCTTTATTATTCATGAGGTATTTAATAGTTGGATGTCCCGTTTTTACGATGATCGTGGAATTTAGTGCAGACGGCAGAACGTCTGCAGTTTGCATTGTGAGTTACGAAAGCCGTGGTGCCGTACCGTGCGCTAAATGCATTATGTAACGGGAGGCAAACACGATATGCCAAAAGTGTGTGGCATATCGGGCGTAAAAGTGCACTGGTTGTAAATCAAAATTGCAGCTTTCTCGCGGCGTAGTCGGAAAAAGGAACGACAGCAGGATTCGTGGCCGCATTTCACACTTAAGGACTTTATTGCTTCATATCGGCACCAGCCGCAATTTCCCCAATGCGATATTTCCAAGTTGTCGCGGTTCGGGTTTTAGAACTTCTTTTTAAAGCAAACTATTTTCGGAAGATCTAAGGGCAAATAAAGAGAGAGCACGATCGATGTCTACCATCCCAGGCACTCAAAGAGTCATCAACGTGGCGCGAGGCCAATAATTCCAAATTTAAGGTGACTACTTAACCCGTAACTGCTGCCATTGCCAAACGGAACATCCTAAAGGATTGGATGGTCAAACAATCCTTAACATACATCAATGTTCTTTCTACCATTAGTTTTTGACTTAAAGGATTTATTCATTTCGTCTAAAAATAAACAATTATCTGGTCCAATCGACTTTTAACTATCAACAATTTATATATTATTAGTAAATCAACATGTCTAGATTAATGTTATTAATATATGTAAATGATTTCTGGGACAGAAGTTAACTTACGTATTTATAAAATTTAAACAATATTATTTTTCTTGTTTTCGAAAATTTTCAGTTTATTTATATACAAATTTTATTATACATATAATTTGTAGAATATTTTTCAATTAAATCTGGAAATTACAACATAAATTTTAAAGTAACAGTAAAAACATTAGAACATAAACTGTTCAAAAAAGTGAAAAAAACACAGTGCTTCATTAAATTTATGAAAATTGGATCAGTTTGGTCATTTTGTTATAAAACAACCATAAAATAATAATAATCATCATTTCAACAGTAAAACAAAACAAAATTAAACATTTATATACATAACAATAATAATAAAATTTATTATCTGTTGCAATTGGTTAATATTTTATTCTTTAAATAGAAAAAAAGTGAAAATGTGTTTCTGCAAATATATCATTTTTGTTGTTTTTTAACATTTATTAACTTTATTTATTATTAAATATTATTAATATTTTCATATTTGATAATATATGATAAATTGACTAAAGAGTGATGAAATTCCTAGGTTTTATAGAGTGGTAATATATGGGATATATAAATTTCATAAACATGTTGCCTTTAAAGTATAGCAATCATTAATAAGAATTTCCTCGGAACACAAATGAAATATTTCCTTTAGCATCTAATAAGGTCAGCTTTGCTACGAGTATTAGTTAAACTTAAATATGTAGTGTGTGATTTACGAGCGCGCGCAACTTTTTGTTGTTTAACGCGCCCTTAGACCGAAACATTCGGGCCATTAACTGTGTACTAAAATGCAAGGTAAACATAAGGGCTCCAAATAAGTGTGGATGGTATGTGTGGTTACGCTTTGGATGACACCGGGAAATGCCTCCTCACCAAGAACGGTTACACGTTTTACACTCGAACATCCCTTGCATAAATTTCAAGGCAGGGTAGCGCGATAGTGGGAATTTTGCAAGGGCTGCTCTCTCTGCTCACCCTCTCTTCATCGTTAATCCGCGCGGCATTTAACACGCTCACGGGTCCAAAACATGGACCCGAGTGGAGAACCGTGTTCGCGATTCGGAAACCGCGATTGCGGGGCGCCGTTTAAATACTCCGAGGCGAGGGGTGCAACCGGTCCAATACCGCTTGTTTCATCATCATCATCCCCCACTTTCCAACCCCAACCCCGACTTCCGGCGAGGATTATTTATTTAATGGCTGCTGGAAGTAATTTAAGAAGGCCGACGAGCTGAGTGAAAAAATGTATGTATATATATATAGTCGCGCCTCCGGTCTAATGGAAATGGCGGAGACGGAATTTGTACATTCATCTTGCTCCCTTGCTTTAATTGAATCATATTGCGAAGACTAGCAAGAAATTTTAAATTTCCCTACGCGAGAAAACTTGCTCATTTCCGTTCCAGACTATTCCACAATTTTGCATACACAACTCTAGTCCTCTGTATACATATAGTGGCAATGATAAAAGACGAGGATTAGCTCCACTAATATGTATACACAAAAAAGCGTTGCAGATAACATCCTCATCAGAGCAATGTCGCCGTTGGGAAATGTATGCAACATTTTAAAATATTACAATCTTTGTTAAATTTCTTCAAGATTTCATCAGTTATATAAACATGAACCTAAATACTTGAAATATTGTTAAACTTAGCATATGATCACCATTCTGTTAAAATTCTGCAACATACGTTGCTTAACTATAAACAAAAATGTTTGTATAACTTCTAAAATCACATAAAAATAAATAGCACAAGAAGAAAAACTGATTATATGGGGGAGAAAAAATGTTAATTTATTTATAATAAATAATATTGTGTATCATTTGTTTATAATTTATTTTTATTTTAAAAATATGAATCTACACTGATTGAATTCGCACTATACGATATATTACTGTATTGTATAATAAATTGAGATAATATTTACATAAATAAATGTCGAATTGAATTTATATTTATGAAAGGATGTAATCGATAATAAATTAATTTCATAAATTCAAATACCTGTAATTGACGATTCCTGAAAGGTTCTCTTCTCTTTACGTTCGGTTTATTTCTATGGATAATTTTTATATTCAGCAATTTAAAATGTTCGAGAAATGTAATTTCGCTTGATCGAAATAAATTCAATGGTACGTAACATATATTTTCTGAGAGAAAGCAATTAGCCAATTTCAATAAAGAAACATTATATTAGAATTTCGAATGTATTTCAAGGAAATTCAATTATTAATTTATTTACCCCCAGCCAACATAAATAAAAAAATTGTATTATAAATTGCTTTGATAAAAAACTGATTTCTATTCTTTGATTTCATTTATTACATACTTTATATTATTTTTTCAAATATTTATTTTTTAATAATATAAGTTTGTCACTTTGTTATAAAATATTATAAGAAATACATATTTGTTTCTTTTATAGATTTTTTTTATATGCTTATTGAATCAAAAAATATCTAATTATTGTTAATTAAATTAGAATCATGATGTCGTAAAGGGGGATACATCTCTGAACGTAAGGAGTCCAATTAACTTTGTCATGACGACGATAAGAACGTTGTCAGTAATCTCATTATAAGGGCACGAAAATTAGAGTAGTCGCATGTCACTACTGTCAGTTTCCATGTGCCGTTATCATAAAGTCACCCTCATCATTGAGCAGCTTTACCTGATTAACTCTTCCCGCTTCATACGACTAATTTCCACTATTTGTTTACAGGAGTCGACCTATCCACAAAACACTGGTGGATCATAGTCACAGTCCTTCTGCTGGCCGCAGCTGCTGGTGTCGGCGTACCAATAGCACTGAAAGTGAGCGCTGGAGCTTCTTTGGAGGAACGATTAGAGTTCGCATCAAGACTGCTTCAGGAGGTGCCGCTGATCGATGGTCATAACGATTTGCCTTGGAACATACGGAAGTTTCTCCACAACAAACTGAAAGAGTTCAATTTTGCTGCTGACCTCAGGAACGTATCGCCGTGGTCCACGAGCGCTTGGAGCCACACGGATCTTCCGAGGCTAAAAAAGGGACACGTAGCCGCTCAGGTAATTTACACTTGACAGGGCCCTTAAATTAAAGACGAAAAGAAAAGTAAAGAAAACGGAGACGAACAAAAAACTAAGAGAAGTGAAAAGCACGAAATAAAGAACCCTAGCACCCTTCTTCTTATTTTTTTTGTTCTCGAAATTTTAATATTCATATGCCATTTGTTCGAGTGCCCATCTCTTCCACGCGATACTCCATTAATTAATTAATTGTATTGTGACCCAGCCGTTTTGTTCCGATGGGATGTCGCGCGAGTTGGCGTGGGCGAAAAGGGCGAATGCTGGCTGGCCTTACTCTCTCTCTCTCTTACACACTCTCACCCTTCATTAATCAACGCGCAACGGGATCTCATCATTAATTTTCGCGCGAGCCGCACAATCGAAACGACTGAATTATTTAAATAACAATTTACTGCGAAAAGGGAGTCCGCGAAGTTGTTTCGCAAAAACTTTTCCCGGCCGGCCCTTAATTAATGTTAAGTCGAAATTTACACAATTCATATATGTTCGTTTTCGGCCGTTCCCAGCAGCAGGAAAACTTTTCAATTTAATTACTTTCTGCAGGAGGCAAACACGCACCGTGGGCTAATCATAAATTATATATGTATCTGCTCTTGTATAAATAAAATGGTGCAGCCAGTCTGTTGATGTAACAATCCGTGCGGATGCGAATATTGTTTACTTTAATTATTTCAAATGAAAAAAAAAGTGGATACGAAAGTACGCTTCAACGGAAGGAAGTAAATCAGTTGAGATCAATCCGCTTCGAGGGTTAATATATAACGCCTTTATCTGTTAGTCTTTTATGTTCGACGATGCGGAGCAAGCAATGATCTCAAACATCTCAAATAAAGAAAAGATATCCTTAATATATAATCCATAAAATATTACATAAATCTATTCATTTTATGTAATACATTTTAATCAATTTTAGAGAAGTTATTATTAATTATTATTTAAACTAGCTAAAATCTTGGTTACTTTAGTAAATAAATAAATCCAAATAAATTATCGGCATTTATTTAGTAGAAAATTAACAAACTATTATTTTCTAATGAAATAGTTACATTATAAACCTAGATTATGCTAAATTAAATTTATTAGTATTTAAACTAATGTATATTATACAAAATGACTTGCTTAACGAGTGACGTTGAGCGCCTGCTACATCATTATTAAAACTTGTGTACACAAATTATGTGTATTTTTGAATATGTTTCACTATACGAGTAAAAGTCCGGAAATTTTGGAACGGATTAAACTCGTTAAGCGAGGTTCCACTGTATACAGTTTTTATTCTGGCAATACAAACTATTCAATTTATTTAAATGGAAAGTTTAATGCTGAGATATTATCTTGTAATGAACTATGCAAATAAAGATAAGTATTGAAGATTTGATTCAGTAATAAAGTTTAAGAACATAACACTAAATCGATTATTTATATCTTCCAATGAAGATTTCTTGTAATATTTAGTGCTGATCTTAGCTATCTCTTCTTGGACGAAGATGATTTTAGAATGTTCATGGATATCATAATTTGAGGATAACCATGGAGCATTCGTAATTTCTCTTAGCTTTTTCTATTGGAATTTGTGTAATAATATATTAAAAAAAAAGAGAAAAGACTTTGGCCCGAATTATGGCCAATAAAAATTAATCAATAAATAAGAATATATTTTTTAGTTAATATAGAAAACATTTTCTTTGCTAACCACAAAATTTCTGAAAGTATTAGTTTTATCATGTTCCAAACAATTTAGTATATAAACAAAATAAGAGCTAATTAAATAAATTTAAATTTTATAATATTTATTAATATATTACTAAAATATTTGCTAATATTAATTGACTTTCTTATTAGAAACCGGTAAATATTAAAATTTTCTTAATGAATAAATTTTCAAATGTGATTGATGTACTCAATTTAATTTAAATTCATATTGTGTAGATTATTTAAATCATCAATGAATACTAACAAATATTTATATAATCAAATTTAGGTTTAATCGTGTGCAGCATATTGTTTGTAATAAAACGTAGATTTAATCTAGAAAAATCGGATGATAAATGTAATATATGGAATGCGGTAATTCCTATTTTTACAGATTATTAATTCTAAAATCTATTAAATTATCGCGTATTTTATTATATTTTAGTATAATACAAATGAAACAAATGATTAAATAGTGTAAAGTGATGATTCTCTTTATGTACATATTTGTAATTAAATAATCAAATAATTTTAAATATTGATATAAATTAAATCAAATAAACAATTATTAAATGTATATGATAAAATAATGCTTTTGGTGTTTGTTCATGACCGATTGAAAATGAATTCATCGAAATCGCCCATTGTAAATTATTCTCTTTCAGCTAATCAGCTAACTACGTGATGCTGACAATGAATCCTTCCATTAAACTCCTTTGCACTAAAACTCAAACTGAATGCACATTGCGCAGCTTTTAGAGATTATTCCTCAAAATCTATAAACCAACCAATGCACGAATCCTAATCCCAATCCTGCGAACGAAGCTTTGCATATCAAAACCCAAATGAATTAATTCAGTCAGAGCCTCATAATTTCAACAAAATCTGATAAATTGATTATTTAATAATAATAATAATAATTCGATTGTATTATTTTTATTTATTTATTAATAATGTGCAGCAAATAATATTAGCAACAAAGTAAAATTAAATGCAATGAAAACGGTGTTCTTAATTAAACATATTAAACAAGTGAAACCAGAGTCGCTTCCAGACTACCATAAAAGAAGCAAGGGAAAACAATTGAATGAAATCATTTCCGTGCTGTGTAATGAATATATAGAAGAAGCAATTGTCTCCCGACACACAGAGTTTCCAATTGTTATCGCGTGAAACACTTAAAGTAATTACGTTTTCCGTCCTTTAGGACTCTATACTTTTTTTTTCTCTTTGTTATTTCATCGTCCTCCGCGCCGCGCGATTACTTTCCTGTCTCACTACAAGTTTTAATCAGAGTCGATCGAAGCGGCGCGGATTTTCGCAGGACGAGGAAGCAGGAGGTTGAGGACGTGAATCCTCGAGCTTCCTCACTCCCTCCCAAACGGTGCGACCGTTTAATATTTATTTTTAAAAGGGCGCAGAGGTTTTATTCATCCCCCACCATTCAGCGGGTGATTAACTATTCGCAAACGGGACGCTACGCCCTAATGGACTTTTGCATAAAAAATCGCGAGCTGCAATGGTGAAAAAGTAGATGGCTTCAGTTCAACAAGCTTATACAAAAAAAAATGATAGAAAAATAAAACAAAAATAAAAATACAAAAACACACAGAGTAGGGGTCCAATCAAAAGGGACCAGCGAACAGCATGCCCTTTATGCATTTGATGACACGTTTTGATAAAAAAATAATCACAGCTAAATATTTTGAACAAAGCCTATTTGATCTGGATTTGCATCCATTCATGCACGCTAAGCGTACCTATTTTGTATTTTTTTTATGTTAAAACATATTTGTATTAAAACGAAGATTTATTGCTGGATTTTTAGGTGGATACAAACTTGACAAGTCAGAAAGTCTCTTTACATAATAAGATACTACTGCCAATCAATCTTTGATTATATGATATTTGAACGAACGTTCAAATTCCCAATTATACTAATTACGTTTTGTATAATGACCCCTCGATTGTTGATTCAGCACGAGATTACTGAATTGTCACCTAAGTTGATTGTAGTCTAATTGTACGTTGGGGTTACGCAATTGTCTACAATCTGTAACCTAATAACAGTAGTCTGAATCTTTGTAATTGAGTTAACTTCAAATAAAAATAACATATTTTCAATCAAGACTTTTCCAAATTTAACAAACCAATACCATATGTTTTATAATATTAATTAAAAAAATATTTTAAACTCAATGTTTAACTAAAATGAATAATTATTTAATAATTCTTTTTTTTTATTATTTTGCTTGTAATTTTCATATGAATAAACAATCTGATTTTTTTAAAAATTATAGTTACATATGTGGATTATCTCTTCAAATTGATTAAGGCAATAACGGTCAATGCAATAACAAGCTACTAGATATTTAATAAACGCAATATCGACTGCTTTATGAACCCATAAAGACGAACCGAATTAAAAGCAGTAAATTGCTATAAAGTGGCGTATTTAATGGATTATAAAGTCTCCGCAAATCCGTAAAATGTAGTGGCAAACTCCAAGATAAATATTTTTTGTTAGTTGATCGCTAATTAATTTCGAAACAACTCGCAAATAATTAAACGAAATACTATTACAATTCCACAGGGAGTACGCTTTTAAACTTTGAATTCCAATTTATAACCATGACAAACATATTACCGTTGGGATTAGAAGATTATTTAATTTCGTATGTTACGTAATTACAAACAAACATTTGTTTCAGATTGTTTTCAAAACAAAATAAATAGATAGTTTAGATAAAAAATATAAATTCAACTCAATTTTATGTAAATTGCTATTTCCTTTAGAAAATACATCCCACGACGTTTTCAGTTTGTTGGTAATTGTAACTAGTTGTTTCTTAAGAAAATGGATGACCGTTTTACAAGAAGTTATATTGCATTATCAGTTCCGTCCGATTCTCCCAGTATTTCAAGTTCAGTACTGTAAACTGTGCTGCACTGAATCAAGCTTTAAAGCTTGCTTATGCTCAAGTTATAACAAAGTATCAATATCTACAGTATACATCAAAGTTCGCATGGAACTTTGTTTTGGTAGTTTACTATTTCCGTGTGGAAATTAACATTCTTAGTTAATGGTTCAGTATATTGAAATAAAAATATTATTTTTGAGATTATGTTTGGGAAAATAAGTGATTTTAATAATGGCAATGTTATTGTTTAAATTGTAAATACAAAAATATCATTAATAATAATTGGTGAAGGTTTCCAATGATTTTAATTAAGTTAATTGAGGAGAAAGTTTTAATAAACATAATGGGAGATTTGAGGATGGATGG